TTTCCCCCCCCCCCCCCCCCAATCTAATACAGAGGTTGAGAATGAGTAGGATCTATACCTCCTCTCCCGGTGAGAGCCCACATTGCATGTAGCAAGATTAAAATAAGCTTAAAAATAATATATGCTGTTTAATTCTGTGTCTTTTGCAGTTGAGATTTGTTGTTCCATTTAATTTTCCATCATTTTGTACTTACCCTAAAGTTAATTAAATGTTTTATCACAATTTTACTTTAATTGCTCAGAATTTTAATAACAAAATTTAGGTAATAAAATGGACTCTGTGGAATTGTCTGCAAGAAGATTCAGCAGTAATTCATTTCTGTGGCTAAATATTCTTTGCCTTATTAAAACAGCAGGCATATAGTTTAAAGAAATTAATAAAATAGTAATATTGAAGCTTGTAACAAGCACAGTATTTATTAGTTATATGCCATTTTGTGAACTGAAGAATGCATCCAAATATGGAGTTTATTGGCATATTTGTAAAGAAATTAATAATGCAATGTTAATGATTTACATTAGCATAATTGCTTATCATGTAGTATGATAAGCTTGAAATAAGAATAATGTACTGGCAATATGATTATAAAATTGCAGTTACACTATATTGAAAATAACCACAGGAAACAATAAAAGTATAATTTGTAACAGTGTTAGCAAGTATTTTGAACTGTTTTGCTTAATTGAATAACATGTTACAACAGGCTTTCTAAATTTTGGTTGTAGAAGACTCAGAATGGTTAAACATTCCATATGTGTCGTTATGTGAGCTATAATAATCATCTCACCAGTAAGAGCATTGATAACTGCATAGAAGTGGGAGAGGACTGAAGCAGTAGTGCTGAAGTGCATAGGTGTTATGTCCATCTAGGTATTGGAAAGGTACTGAGTTGACCAAAATTATGTGTGATCCCATCTGAAACTTATTATCTAATGGTTGTTCAATCATTGTTATTGTTTGCATCTTCTTATATCAGTAGTTGCATTAAATAATGAACTACTTCAGCACTGTTTTATTGATTTCATATGACAGTGAATATGTGTGTATTGTTTGAATGCATTTAATGGTGTGTTTATTTTTGATGTTTTATTGTGCTTCTGAGTTTGATAAATTCTCTTTCAGGTTATGTATTGTTTTGCCAGCTTGTCTTGTAATAACATATTCTTTTCAGGTGGTATTTTAATATCTATAATTATTTAATATCAGATTAAATTGTACAACAATGAAATAAAGAAATCAAATCATGGATTAAGTAAATATATTTGAAATAAAAGTAGTTGCATATGTTATACATTTCCAGTTTGAGAAATTGCATATGTTTTGTTGTTTGAGCTGCATTCTTTTTATGTAAGAAGTTGATTGCTAAAGTAAAGAGATAAATTCATTAATCTGATAATCAGAATATATGGCTTGTAGCCTCTTGATGATAACTGAAATGGTTGTATGCTTTTAATATTACTAGTGTCCGAGGTTATTCGAGTAGTCGATCTGACTTAACTAACTTAACACTTAACTCTATTCACTTTCAAGAAGTGGCCAGCAAGCGTCCGACCCGCTCCTGTCACGACGCCAGCCTAAACATTGCCTGCCAAGGCTTGCCGACCAAACCCGAACCTACCGGTAGCCTACTCTCTGGCTGGTACTAGTTTTGTTCACACACGGTATAGCAATCATCAACTTTTGGTTTTAATAATTAAAAATAAGATGAGTATTTGTACTGTTGGCTCTCCAACTGGGCTTTAGGCCAGAGTTTTAACATGGAAGTTGAGGGTCACACTGTTTTCAAAGATCGGTTCTTGCTTTGGTTTCAGATAAACTGTACTAGTTAACACTGCTGAATCTGGCAGTGATTGTGTTAATTTCTTGACCTCTGTAAGTAAATTTTTCAGCTTGAGATGCAGTTTTGCCAGTGAGAACAAATGCCATACCCACTGATGGAAGAAAAGGAGTTTCAGTAATCATGCCACATTCAGAAGTGGTAGCTATCTGTTTAATATTTTCTGATACTGTTATTATATTATCAGATAGTTAGTAGTTGACAGATGTGGCCTGATTAGTTTGCCTGAAGAAAATAACATTTGAGCCAGATGTAATTGATATATTTAGGATTTATGTCAGGCTGTAATGGGAGGCTACTGATACTTACCATAGAATCTCAGTATCTTTAGTGATAAATATAACAAGCAACACATTTTAGTGTGTTCATCAAACTCTGCAATAATTGCATTTGCTTATTGAATGTCATGAGAAAGCAAGGCTCAGTATGTTTGTTGTACATGTTCAAAATTTTGGTTTTTCAGAATTATTTATTGCATTGGTATGTAACTATTTTGAAGCTAGCATATTTCTGGATGATTCATTAAAAGTCATGAGAGCAGTGAAAGTTCCAAGAAAAGGGTTAGCCTGTAAGATACTTGTACTCCTTTTTATGTGAAACTTTCCCTGGTTTTATGTCACTTGACCAATCTTGATTCAGTTACACTGTGGTACTTGAGCCCTGCTTAACAAACTTCTAATAACTGTTCTCAATTTCAGCTTGTGACTTTTATTAAATTTAGATCTTTTGATGTTACAATTATACTATTAATTATACTTGAACATAAAATGTTTGTTTCTGTGGATGAAGTAAATGTAAAAATTATGTAAGCTGAGAAATATAGAATGTTGCTAAATAGATGATATATATGTTAATTTTCATAACTCAGTGATTGAATAAGAGTCTGATAGAGGACTGGAAATATTGCTTCCACCAGACCTGTAGTTAATGTCACCGGTATATGTTTGGAAGCTGTAAACATACAAATAAGTGGTGAAGAAACCAAGTCATTGTTGAAGCATCTTCACTTACAAGATATCATCTACAAATAAAAACTCGCAACATTAAGAAGGCTACAGTTTTTGTTAACTAGTAATTGTTTTTGTGTTTCTTAATCTGATGTTTTATTGCAGGAGTGTTCAAATGGAGAAAATTGACTGTTTACTGACATGTTTGCTTTGTCACGGTAACAAAAATATCCGCTTTACCATTCTTATCAAACCAGAATGCAAAGGACGTAGATGTATGACCATATATGGTATAACTCATGTATGACATGGAGTGTTACAAAAGTAGATTTGAAGTGAATTCCTGTTTCTGAGTTACAGTAATTAATTACATGCTACAGAGGCTTGTTGTCATGTGTTCAGGAAATTCCAAACTGCATAGGATTCTGAAGGTTTATCACAGTTATTCCAAATACCCGTGACTACCAGCTCATAGCTTGTACTAAATGACACTTCCAATCCTGACCTGTACAGTATATTTCTCTACATCCAATTTTAATATTATCCAGCCTGTGCTTTGATCTCTGAAAAGTAGTGTCCATGGAGTTTGTGTTACAATACCAGTTTCATTGTAACTCATTAAATTTTGAAAAAACTGCAAGTACTATGCTACAAAATATAGTTCACATACATAATACAATATTCTCTTAGAAATTCTTTACCATTCCCTGAACCTTTTATCCTGCATTATAAAATACTTGTTTTGACTGCATATTCTCTGATGAAGTCTGTCATTTTAAGATGGCACAAAAATCCCTTTTCAACAAACAAGTTACGTGATTAACGTGGAAAATGAATTTTGATGATTTTATTAATTTCTTTATTCAGTTCAGGTGAATGACAAGGACACAGATTCCTTGTAAAAAGCGGAATTTAATTATTAAGTGTTTTTTGTTAAGTACCAGTGTTCTTTCCATGTAGCAAAGATTTTGAAGTGTGGCTCTGTAGTGAGATAAAAGGAATTCACTGGAAGGAAATCTTACTTATAAGTACTTAAATTACCACTTGTATTAATCATCTTATGTTATTGGAGTGATTTATGGATATACACATTACTGTGACAAGGTCATACATAATGGGAGCTCAGTGCAGATTGTATGAAGCTTTGCTTTATCTGTGAATGCAGCTGAACATACATGTGCGGTGTTTCCAGGTGAAACGTGACTTCGTTGCTCTCTTGCGAGAACATGCGGACATTGATCGCCATTCACGCTGGAGCGATGTGAAGAAGAGGCTTGATATGGATCCTCGCTATAAAGCAGTAGAATCAAGTTCTGCACGAGAAGATTGGTTTCGTGAATATGTCAAGGCCTTGAAGGAGGAACGCAAGCGTGAGAAGGAGAGAGATCGAGAGAAACGTGACAAAGACAAGCGAGAGATTAAAGATAAAGCAGATAAAGAGAGAGACAAGGACAAGGAGAAGGAAAAGGAAAAGGAGAAAGAAAAGGAAGTAGATGAGAATGATGCAACTGAGGTAAGGAATACTTGTTATGTCTTTGTTGGTTTAATGATGCAGCTGTATAAACTTTTCATGAGGCTTCTTATAATTTCTGTGGCTGTACTGTGTTGCTCCTGACTGGTTCATATGCTGCTTAGGAACCACTACATCAATTGTGTATTCAAATCCAGGATGAGAATGTAAACAATTCTGATGATGAACGTGAAAAGGAGCAGAAAGATAAGGAGAGGCAAGCTCGTATGGAGGCAAGTTTGCGAGAGAGGGAAAAGGAAGTACAGCGCACACTTGCAACACACCTACGGGATCGTGACAAGGAACGTGAACAGCATAAACATGATGAGGCTGTGCAACACTTTAATGCTTTATTGGCTGATCTGGTAAGTGCAGTAACACTTCAATTTAATATTGCAGATAAACATGCAGGGTGTTCATCACTGGAAATTGTGAGCTGTGCAGATGCACTTAATTTACGCTTTCACAGTTTCTTCTGTGAGGAATTTGTGATTATCATTGGTTTTCCTGTATTTGAGTTGATGGATTTTAAAAAGGAAGTTTCTCTGGAGTAGGAAATTCTCCCATATCATAACAAATCAAAATAGTTCATTATCTTTAATATTCATTAGCATTTTATGCTTCTATCCAGGGGAACTGCATATTTGAAAACCTTCCTCTTGAATTGATGTCATGGCAGTTAATTTTAAGTTCTTGAACTTGTTCATTACATGGTTTTCTTAAACTATAACATTAAAGAAACTGGTTCTGTATCTGTCTTCAGGCAAGGGCAGCTTAATCAGAAGGGTCTCGTTGAATGAGCCAATTTTAATCACTGATTCGGTCAGTTTAAAAAGACTATGATGAATGTTGAAGTATAAGAAATTATAACTGCCAACACAGGAGTTCTTGACCCATGGCCACCAGTGTGTTTTGTACAGTATACCTATAGGTAACACTCGGGTCAGGCTGTGATTTGCAAGTGCCATTGCCACCTGGTGTTACTCATATTTATTGGTGATACTGAGTTTAGGTTACATACTTTTTGCATTTCTGGTTATGAAATAAAAGAAGCCAACTATTAATGTCATCTTCCTTGCTGCAGACATTGTGATGCAAGGACAGTATATGAGTCTTATTATTGATATGAAATTCATACAAGTTTCAAATTTAATTTGCAGTGAAGATAATGATTGTGATGGATTAAATTCTATTGTGGGATACATTTGATTTTGTGTGTTGTAATTGTGAGTAGGCTGCAAAAAATTAAGATTCTGTTGTGGGTACACTGGATGATGCATATTGAATAGTTTGGATACAGCAAATATTTCAAAATAAAATACTGTCATTTACTGGATGTTTACTTATTGTTGTTTATCTTAGTGAAGATTCTCACAAAAACATATATCCATGAACCTGGTTATGTAGGTACGTAATGCAGAGCTGGCATGGCGTGAAGCCAAGCGACAGCTGCGGAAAGATCACCGTTGGGAATTGGCTGAGCTATTGGACCGTGAAGAGAAGGAGAAACTGTTTAATCAGCACATTGAACAGCTGACTAAGAAGAAGAAGGAGAAGTTCAGGTAAGATTTTGACTGGCCATAGTTAATTATTTTTGTAATAGAAACTGCTGAGAAACTAACTTCTTAACTTCATTCACCTAAGGTTTTGATTATATGTACAAGTTGCTATACTGTGGAATGTAGAAACAAAAAGGAACAATTTTCCAGACAAATGTACCAACGCCAATAGAAGTTGCAGTGGTGTGGGACTGTTTTTTTGAAAACAGCGTAAATTGAAATTTGTGGACTTTCAGTCTTCCACGGCAGCGTGTATATGTTGTGCATTTTCAATGTTTCTTCACAACTGCAGATATTTAACTTGATCATGTTTCAGAGAACTGTTGGATGAGACAGGGGAAGTAACATTAACTAGTTCCTGGAAGGAGATAAAGAAATTGATCAAAGAAGATCCAAGATACAGCAAATTCTCATCTAGTGACAGGGTAATATAATGTAATAGTTCTATAATCTCAAAATCTTTGCATGAACTCATTGTTTTTGCTAGCAAGTGTATGTTGGCCCACAAAAATGTTTGTGGCATTAATAAATTATTGTACCTAGTCACTTAAATATACAATTTCTAAGCTATTGTCTTGTTAATAAACTTTTACAAGACTGATTTGAGTAACAAATTAGTTTTCTGAAATTATTCATATTTATACAGTGAAACTGTTGCCTTGCAGTATCAGGAAAGAAGTTTCAGGAGTACCCATAAAAATCATCCTTAGCTGTTTTATTGTTTTCTAATGTATAGAAATAGATATTTTTTCATTTCTACGTGTCATATGTTAACACATGTTGAATTTGTTACTTTATCACAACTCTTGGACATACACTTGGACAACTATAAGAATGTCTGCACAACACAAGGGATATTTCTGCTATCTGTATTAATTGGTATGAACTTATTAAATATATGGAGGACAGTCCTAGTTCAACTAGTTGAGAAATTTCACTCATTTTATGGAACCAAGCAGTCTTTGAGAAGTAGACGTGTGTGATTGTTTAATAAGGTAAGGGGGAAGACTTGATGGGTGACCCCCAGGAACAGGAAGAAGAGTTTTGACACAATGAATTCTCTCTATAATACAGTAGCAGATCATGGAATACTGTATTAAATTCTCTAACAGTAGCTCAAGCAAAACTTTAAAATCATTTTTCCTTCATTCAATCTGAAGATGAAATGAAGTGATGATGTAATTTTGTTTTTTGTGGCTCTACAATATTACCTGATTTATTTGTAAAATACCAAAAACTGATGAATTAACAAATGTTTTTCGCCCGTAGAAATGTGAGCGGGAGTTCAAAGAGTATATAAAAGACAAGTTGGTTGCAGCCAAAGCAGATTTTAGAGAATTATTACAGGTAATATTAAATTCTTTATTTGCATAATTTTTATCATTCATATAATTTGTGTTAATATTGTTACAGTGTGAAGTATAGATATTACAGTGGCATATAAAGTAGCTTTAGTAGTCATGTTTTATATTGTAAACTAGGTTTCTGATCACAGCACTGTATCAGCCTGTACCAAACTTTATTATGTATTCTTTCTACAAGGTGATGTATATAAGAGAGGTAATGTCATCTTCCATCTCTGTGAAACAAGTGAGTGATTTTGTTAATTTGGTATTTGGGGTGTAGACTACAAGTTGTCAAATTTAATTTTTGGTTTATATCATTAAATGTAGTTCTTTATATCAGGGTTTCTCATTTTCTCATCCATTTAAAACTTTGGCTCACAATCAGCCTTTCTTTTTGACTTGCATACTTTTAAGTTATAAGTGGAAATTTATTGAAAATTCATAACATTTTATTTAAAGTGCTAGTAACTTCTTATTGCAAATATTACTCATTAATTTTGTTTCATAGGATTGTTCACTTAAAATTAAGTATTTAATGTAGGTTATAACTATTTTCCACTACCCAGTATATAACAATATTAAATAAAATGTGCATCTGCTAAACACAATACAGTGGGGAGCTATAATTAGTGAACTCCTGTTTTACAGTGTAATTGATACTACACTGTACTAAAGTGTTGTAAGACATATGAGCATTAGCATGGGACCCTACTTGTAGTGATCTGGTAAGGATCAGTATGTGTCTGAAGAAATCAGGTTGTGTTGTTGCTTAATCTGGACATTCCAGGCTGTCAACTCTTCTTGATCCTTCCTTACATTATTTGTTGTCTCTCCTTTGTCACACAAAAAATTAGTAAATTATATATATAGGTCTTATCAGGGTAAACGTGTTTTATTTTACACATTTTTCAGCATGATGAACGTTTAATGAAATACATGGAAGAATGGTTTCAGATTGTGCAGTATATCATCTGTAGTATGATTAACTTTGGAACAGCAGATTTATATATGCAGTAGATAATACAACATGGTCAGTGAAGTATGCAAAGTAACAGAATCTATTCAGAAAAATGTGTATACTGCAGTGACATACACCTTTCTATTCCTCATAACTCTGACACAACAGTGAAGATAGAACAAGAGATAAGTTTATACAAGTCCTGAGGAACTTGACCCTTTCAGTTTCAAGCTCTCTGAAAAACATGTCATTAAATGTTGGTACATTTTCTTTCATTATAATTTACTTTATTTGGGAATTAAACATTTATATTTCATATTTCTGTTGGCATAGTGTCCATCTTTACCAGCAGGAAATAGAGTGTATTTGCATGTAACAACACAAATCTTCCGACATGATGGATACAAAGTATCAGTCTAATCTAAGCTTCCACATCATATAATTTGTATTCTTAATGCTAATGTGTAGCAATGTTAAATCATCATAGGAACTGCAAGAAAAAGTGGTGGTAATGTCATTGGTAGTGGCAGCACTTGTAGTTGGGCACTTGTAAAGTAATAGAAAAACTACCAAAGCATTGTGCTAGAGTGTGGGATTATCAAATGTAGTTTTTGTAAGTGGTTTGTGATTTTTCCCCCCCGCAGGAGACAAAACTTATCAACCATAAGTCACTGAAATTAGTACAAGAGAATGAACAACACATTCGTGAAATCGAGGACATTCTGAAGAAAGATCGTCGTTACTTGGTTCTGGACTATATGCCTGACGAAAGGACTAAACTAATTGTCACATATCTAGAAGATTTGGATAAGCGAGGCCCGCCCCCACCACCAACTGCCTCAGAACCCACTCGGAGACCTACCAAGTGAGCATATTTTAAGGTGCGAAACTATGCTTATGCCACATACAGAGAAACTGAACCAAATTACATTAAATTTCAAATTCCTAATGTACTGAAATATTGAAGTTAGATGATGTTCAGTCTGGTAAGGTTAATTTTTTTGTGAGTGGTTTATACCATTTTTGCACAAATTTCATAATGGTGTCATATATGTGTCTGTCCTCTTGTTTTATTAGATTTGCATCAAAAATAAATGGAACATGAACACCATTGAGTAATGCAGGATAACAGAGAACTCTGTATGTGTAAAAAAAAACATTAAGTTTTACATCTCTTTGTGATATTGCTTGTATTTTCTTACAAAGATAATCATTATCACTTCTTGAACACTATTGCACACACCATTTTTAAATAGTTTTTATCAGTCAGCTTTGTATGCTAGTTATTTGATGCTTCCCCTTTAGAAGCGTTCACATCAATCCTTATTTGTTCAGAATACTGAAGGGAATACGTGTTTCATTCTCATTGCATTTCGATTAGAGATCATTATTCAAAATAAAAAAAACATGGTAGTTGATGTTAAGTGAAGATTTACAAGTGATCATGATTGCAGATGTACATTATAAACTAGCAAATGGTTGTTACTTAAGGTTATTTAAGGATATTGTCATAAACTAGGTGCGCACATACACATTCTGCTGTAGCGTAATGCTGTTACATTACAACATACATTCATGTGTAACATAACTGTTATGCTAGAGGAAAATACATGTGTGTACCTGGCTTTAAGACAACATTCTGCCCTGATGAATCATAATGCTTGTTTCCTTGCAGCTGCTGATTGCTAACCTCATCTTTCATATGAAGACATATACAAGTGTGGAAAGTGCTTGCTGTACAGGAGAACAAGTTCAAAGTTTGCATATGTTAGGGTTATGCGTGGGGTTTCATTGCACTGACAGGTAGTATATCAGAAATTTGTACCGCAGATTCATTCACATTATGGTTTTTATCTTGAATACTTCATGGTCTGAGGGAGCATTGTTAATTAAGTAGATGTACATTGCAATGTGATGCACTATTAAACAGAACTGGGTCTGATATATGCTCTACCCAGCTTTATTGTTAACCCCTTTTATGGCAGCATTGTATCTCCATTATCCCATTACCAGTCCTGATCATTCAAAACATTTTGTGTATATAGATACACAATGGTGACATGTCTTGGCTTTGTAGTGTTTCTTCTTTCATCCTGTATGATGCAGTATGTGTTATAATATAAAAATGCATTTCAAATTTGCCATTGAAGGGGTTAGGACCACACAGTTTCATTGGTAAATTGATATATTTTAAAATACACTCATAACACTATAGTTCACATTGTCTCAGTATATTAGAAGTTATATATAAAAGTGTGCCACACATTGTGAGTGTTACACTTCATGACTAAGGAAGGCAGGAAACACACGCATAAAACAACCCAGCCCCTGTTCATTAACACACTGATTCTGTTACATTTATATGTCCTCTTTTGTTTTATCACATATAATAATAATTGAAACAGGAAAATGTATGCAGTAGTACCATGTGTAATTGACATTAAATTTTAGCATGATAGAGGTAAAACACCTCATACATTATGAAATGGCTTTGTGTTTTCATCCAGTGACTGGTGACCATCTGAAAGGCTGTTTATTGTTTTTTTGGGTTTTTTTTTTTTGGTTTGTTTGTTTTTTAATTCCACGTCATTTATAAGGAAAATGTATCACCACTGCATTTATAAGATTATAATAAATTCCTTGTAGAGTGAACCAGTTTTTTAAATTACTTTAGAAATAGAGCTGCATTAGGTTATATTGTATTCTTGGAAAAGTGAAAACATTTTAGATTGGGTATGTTAGATTTGGTGCACATGTGGAAGTTGCAGCATCATTTATATGGGATTATGACATAATATTATTAGCATGTGTTTGTAGTTGGTATCTCAGGATATTTGGAAGAATTAAATGAGAAAATCTCATTTGATAATATAAGGTTAGTATTGTTTGTGAATGGAGATGGTACAAGGTTTTGAAAGTGTTGTTAGGAGTGCTTACTGAGAATTAAAAATTGTTATAAAACATTTAATCTCAGATTTATTTAAGCAAATTTTCAGTAATGTTTGATGCGGTGAAACATGAATTTTGGGTGTGAAATCTTGTTTTTACACGTAGTTAACTTCAGTGTGCAGAATTCAATTAAAATGAAACGTGTTATATCACATACAAGAATACTAAGTTGTAAACTGAAAACCAACATTCCAGGGGACGGGATGTTTAAATATTTTAAGAACTTATAATTTGTTCACAGTCATTAACCTGAAAGTATGCCAGGGTTAGTATTGGTATATTTGGGGTGCACAGGAGTTTTAAAATTACACATGAGAGAAATATTTGCTCTTGTATCATGTAGAGACAAAACATATGAGTGTTTTACACATAGGTTTTATAATTACTTCATCACTGCATCACATTTGAAAATGTTTATAAATCCAGTAGTTGCAAGTGATAACAGTTTTCATAATTTTTGCCCTTTACACAGTGTTTTGGGTCTATAGTACATGTCCAAGCATGTATTGGCAATCAAATATGTAAATATGTATGTTCAGGGATATGCTGATACCAAATTTTGAGATTCAAAATAAAGTAATTGCTTTGAATGTGTTTTTGAATTTAGAGGGAGACTGACTGAACTTTTGACTTAGATTTGGACAAAGTAAAGTACATTACCATTTTTATTTCATAGCATGAAGCATGTTGGCAAAACTGCTACTGGAGGGAACCAGAAAATGGTTTTGTTGTGTATTTTGGTCTTCGTGTTCTCAAATGAGATTCGTGAAATGAAAAATGTGTGTTACATTAAAGTGCAGTGCTCTTTTGAGGTCTTGCAATATTTAAAGTTTCATTTCTTTGTACAATTTTGTAACACCATTGTTGTGGAATATTTTAAGTTTGTGATCCAAAATGTCGACACATCAAACATAGTGTTGTGCCATTCAAGAGTCTGTTTTTGACAGAATTGCTGACTACTGTGAATCTCACATAATGTATGCTTTATGAGTGGGAACAAGTACTACCACAGCTTATATTTGTAAAAACAAAATTGGAAATGAGCCTCATTCTTTAATTTATTTCCACTATCAAAGTTAAGCAGCCATAAAACAAACTCTTTCTCTAGGAGTGTGCGGGGGAGTGCAGAAACAATATTTCTAACTGGGGGACCAAGACAACACTGTTGACTGGAAGAATAGACCTCTGCTGTCATAAAGCATCAATAGCTGAGTAGACAAGAAGGCTTTATATGTTCCATATCCTGACATCCTTTCTAAACTATTTCAAGTATTCTGGTGAATAAATCTGTATAAAATAAAAAAAACATGTTTAAAATAACTTTCTTTAACTTGTGTCTCCAATTTGTCAACTGTGATATTCTAAATAATAACAATTTTATATTATGATGTCCTATTTGGAAATTATGAAGTGTGTTATTTTCTTTCCAAGTAATTTAATAGAAGAGCAATTTTATTTGAAGTGCCTTTGTTCTTGTAACTCATTTGGCTTTAAACTTAAAATCGTTAGTAGTCTGAGGTGAAATCAGAATGAACAAATTACTCCATTTTGCTCTCATCGCTATTTGTTTGCATATGTCTTTTTGAGAATTTAATAAATGCAAGTGCTTAAGACATGACAGTGAGTAGAGATGTGTTATTTGCAGGTGAACAGGTCGAAGAGACTATGCTTTTCTGTTGAACAAGTTGATCTGGATTGAAAGTTGGCAGCGTGTTGTTTCGTTGCAAACCCAACTAAATCCCTAAATCATCCTGATTATGGAGATAATGCACACTTAGAATCTGAAATCTTACAGCCCAATCCTGTTTGCACTTTTACAACTTATGATGCATTTTAAGCCTTTACCATCCCTAACACTAACTCAGGAGCTGAATTTGTGCTCTGACTGAAATGCTCTTAATCTGAACGTTTGTCTGCTATAGTTCAAGAAATCTTTTTAAAAGCAGTCCAGCAAGTGTAGGCTGGTATTATTTTTTAATCTACACCTAACAAGTCTCCTAAGTAATGTTTAATTGAAATCAATCCAGAGTTCCTTAATGCTGAATTTGCTTTTCTTGTATATCAAGATACATAATTTAAAACTGATTAAAATAAGTAAATTATGGGACTTTGAATCAGTTCTTATAAAATGTGACAAAGTTAAAATATTTCAGAAATGATGGTTTTAGGATGATTACACCAAGGCAAATGAGCTGGAAGGGGCCTGTAGCACAAATAGAGGGGATATTAATCAAAATTTATAAGTGTGTATGGGAAGATAATGAAACATTTTAGAGAACTTGAGTCAGGTGATTGCTCAGGATGAAGACTATGGTGGACTTGTGAAAATATTTTATGAACCTTAAGGTTCCATAAAAAGAAGGAAACTTATTGACTATTGTAACAACATAACTTCTCAATGCTGTTACATCTAATCAGGTTTTTCAGGTGTTCTGAATATATGGTCATAGGATCAAGCCATATTTTATTTTGAATCTTTGACTTCCAAATTTAAAATGCCATACACAGCCATTCTTTCTGTGGTTATTAGAAGTAAAGGAGTAAGGTTGTGCATACTGATTGGATTTATGTGACTCAGGACTGCGACTGGTGGTGGTCTCTTGTGATTATGGAATAAATTTTTGACGTAAATACGTCTATATGGAAGGGAAGTGTAACGAAAAAGTGACAGGAAAATGTATAAGATGGTTACCTAGGAAATATCAACAATTTGTAAATATGGACTGACAACAATGGTCAGCTTGTATGCATTGTTATGTTACCTAGGAAGCGTCATCTGTTTACTCGGCATTGTTGTGTTACATTACTGCCGTCAACAATCCGTTTTCGTTATTGCGGAAAGAGCTGAGCTGTGAATCGCTTGTAGAAGAAGTGCGTCGTAAATTAGATAATTTTGTGCTGGTAAAAACGTTTTACAATATCACAGGTACTTATCTTATATAAGAATTATTAAGAAATCTTTTGTTGCCTCATACTATGTACAAGATGGATGACATTGAAGCTAAAAGACTCCATAACGCAGAATATATTTGACAGTAAAGAAAACGTAAAAAAATAAAAATATTAAATAATGAACCTAAAGTTCCCCCCCCAAAATACCAAAAACTAATGCTGAACATACAAGGGAATATATTGATTGTAAGAGATTTATTTTGAGTCATTTGAGAAATTATACAAGGATGTTTTCAGTTATGGTCACAGAAGATCCTAATACAATGCCGATAATATTGACAGGAGATTTTAACATTGATTTAAAAAGGAGGCAAATCAAAGCTTTGTCACATTTATGGAGGAAACGTTTGGCTTAATGTTAATGTCAAATCCTCAATGTAGTACTACTAGATCAAAATCTTGTATAGATATGGTGTTTGCACGATATATTGATACTCTAAAATGTACAAATTTTATAACATATTTCAGCTACCACAGGCCCATCTTAAGCGTAACTAATTCAAGGTAGGCAGTACTGTCTTACTCAAACTTTAATCAATTGTAAAGCGTGTAAAAAGCCACTATATAAACTCCTTACCGTATAGACGTATTTACGTCAAATTATCCGGAACCGTGGTTCCACTATAACTTTTTGGTTTCACAAAAGATGGGTCGACTAGCTGAGCATACTATTGGCTGCTGAAGTAGTAACAGTAACATTATTTAGGGAATAACGTTTTACTGAAGTACATAGCTTCAACAACGTTACATTTCTAGGCTATAACTTCTATTTGACGCCGTCGCCATGTTTGCACAAGTTGGCTCTTATCCAATTTTCTACACAATTTGTATGAATGTTTGTAGTCTGTGACCACACACGCCACGTTCTTGTTTCCTAGATAGTATTAATATTTATATAAAATTATTTCAGTGAAGTATATGACAGGTTATATTCAATATTGGTACCTTAATGTTTTTAAGATGCGGATTTTTTAAATGTTTGCGCTTTTTGCCTTTCGTCATTATTTCCTGAGTCCAACTACTTGTGTGAGTTTCTTCTGTCGTTTTGTGAAGCATGCAAGAACACTACCTGATCGTTACATACCTTCCCAGAAGATACTTTTATCTTAAACTTTGTCAAAATCTGTTAGCTTTAAATTTTCTCATTCTCACATTGTCATCAGTCACTATCAACAGTAAGGGCTTCGCAAGATCACAACGTTATTAACAAAACCGGTGTGCTTTCCGATTATTATTTATCATCATCACATAAAAATATTGAAAAATAACTGCAGAAAGAGTGAATTTCAAACAGTATATAGATTTAAAAAATCATGCGGTTCAATAAAAGCTTTGATTAAAATAAAATTCATTTTGTGTCTTTAATTGTAGATTGTGCCCAAGAAATCTGTTCAGGTTATTCACGACACCTAAATGTTTCCAGGAATCACTATATTGCACCAGTGGTTATCAACGTCTCTGTGGGGGACCTACGCTTCTCATTTAAAATTTTAGGTTATCTTTATTCTCTCAAGTCGTTCCTCTAAAGGTCACTAATTTTAACACATATATTACAAATTTTAATTGCAGGAAAATACTTCAGCAGAGAAGATAATTTTTAATCAGTTTCAGTAGGAATTATGTGTTCCCTTGAGCATTATAGAATTCCACCGGCCCATCAGCACAACCAACATAATCCACTAAAAAGTTTCTTAATATTAATATGATTACCCTCAGGATGTATTTGATATATCATTCTCCACTGAAACGTGCCCTGTATCATGACCACTAAATCTTAAAATTAACAAAAATAAAATCAATTGTGCTTTTGAATTTATGAATTAATTTCATGAACATGCAATATCATATGGATCAACTGATTACCGGCTTCCATTTCAGAACGCTCTTCTATCGTTCTATTTACTGTGGCCGTCTCCTGCTTGTGTGTAGGTATACTTTGATTTTCGCTTCGTTTGTAATAAATGATGAGGTACTTGACTCTGTGAAGCTGGTATGGTGTCTTATTTCCTGAAATAATTAATTAATTATTACATTTCTTTCCATTAGCGTGACTTCAAAAAGAAATGTGTTGTATTATCGTCTAATATGTGGAAGTGGTTACTAGATTCTGGAATAGACTTGCCCCGCTAAGAAAACTATTACTCTACAGTTAACAATCATTTCCCTCCAAAGTAAGTTGTCGGTGAAATCATGCCATTGCTGCGTAGAAAGCCATTTATAAAGAAGAAACTTCCACCCGATCTTGAAGACGATGAAGAAGTGTTCTACTGTGAGCTAACTAATGAGATATTTAGGGATTATGAGTAAGTAGTTTGCAAATTTGACATTTATATGATTGTTTGGTGTCATGAAGGTAGTTGTTTCTGCTTCATTACTCTGTATCGTCAGTGGATGTCCAACATAGATATTTCTGTCTCTCTGATTACCATTAGTGTATAAAACCAGATGTTGATTTAATAACTCGTGGTAATGACTAAAACAGTAATGCATGATGTCTGCAGTTGTAAACTTTAGAGGTTGTGTTTAATATTACAGTGATTCGAAATAACTTGAGATAAAGAACTTTCAGTTTACCCCAATATTCTTGTAATTATACCTACTTCTTGTGATTGTAACAAGATTTTCCGTTGTTGTTGCTTCATAGCTATATTTGTTTTTGTTGTATCAGTTGTGTTTTGAAATGTATTTTAAAAGTTACTGAACAAGAGGAGAGAGTTTTGTGTAACTAAATGCTGAAGATTTTTGTAGGGCTACCTTAATTTGGATACTGACTTGCATATTATTTTACATGGAAATGGCAAGGAGCTTGAAGTGTTTAACAGGATACTCATTGAAGAAATTTAAAATTACATCATATCAGCGATGTCTCTTTGAAACAGAATGTTTTCTCTTTGGAAGTAATTCAATGTAAGAGGCCTGAAAATGAATTTTCTAAACTTTGATGTATTTTTTGGGCATAACAAGCATGGATTTTGATGCTAAGGGCATCAAAATTAATAGTTGCTACTTACTAGAAGGCTAAAAATGAGATGCAAGTTGATTATACCTCTTGTGTATGTGTGTGTGTATGTATATGTATGTATATATATACATATATATGTATGTGTGTGTGT